ATGGCACAGAATGTTGGGCGGTGAAACATCAACACGTACACAAAATGGGTGTAGCGGAGATGAGGATGCTTCGTGGGATGTGTGGGCACACGAGAAAGGATAAGATTGGGAATGAGGATATCCGAGGTAAAGTAGGAGTAGCCGAAATTGTAGGAAAGATGAGAGAAAATCGGCTCCGGTGATTTGGACATGTGCAAAGAAGGCCGACTGACGCTCCGGTTCGAATATGTGACTACGGGACAGAGGTTCAGGGCCAAAGGGGTAGAGGAAGACCTAGGAAAACTTTAGAAGAGACTCTAAGAAAAGACTTAGAGTACTTGGATCTAACGGAAGACATGACACAAAACCGAGCGCAATGGCGTTCTAGGATTCATATAGCCGACCCCACTTAGTGGGAAAAGGCTTTGTTGTTGTTGTTGTTGTTGCAACTTGGTTGTTGAATTTGTCATGTGTCTTCTTTTCATTGAATCTGCGGAGGAAGAGGTTAACATCTCACTATACATTGAAAAAGCAATTGTAAAAACTTTGTTTATTAGAACATGTTTAATCTCTTTGAAAATGTTTGAATTCTTTTTTTAATTTAGGTAGAAAATTGGAAATGGATATATACTATATGTTTAAGGAAATATTAAAAAATAGGATAGGCAGATGGAATAGTTTTGAGGCTTTACCATAATTAAAATAAATGTGCAATTGCAGCATTTATTTCCTATGTAAGCAAACTAAAAACAGTAGTTCCAATGAAGGTAACCTGCATTTGGTTGAACAAAAGTGGGTAAGAATATTAATGTAGCAGTAAGAAAGTATTTAACAAAAGAAGGTGATCAAATGATAACTATATAAATTGCTCAATATGTATTCATGATTATAAACAAATTATTGTAAATTTTGTAACACGTCTTTAAATACTATATTTTTTTTGTATAATTGTTTAAATTGTTTTCTCCATTTCCTATCAATATTTTTAAACCTTTTCTTGATGTAACTCTAGATAATGCAACATATAATTGACCATGAGTAAAAACAGGTTCAGGAAGATATAATCCAACTTGTTTCAAAGATTGTCCTTGGCTTTTATTAATGGTCATTGCATAACATGGTCTAACTGGAAATTGGCGTCTTTTTGAAAATAAAAGGCCATTTGCTTTCAGTTGCTGCAAGAGTGATTCTTGGTATGAAAACTTTGTGACCAATATTAGTTCCAGCAAGAATTTTAGCCTCAATAATTCTATCAAATAATTGTGTCACAATCAATCTAGTTCCATTGCATAAACCCAAAGATTGGTTTAAATTTCGTAATAACATAATTGGCATTCCCACTTTTAAAATGAGATTGTGTGTAGGCAAACCGTTGAAATCAAGTTTGTTTAAAAATTCTGTAGGATACATTGTTTCAAGATTTTCAAAATTTCCATTTGAAGAACACAAAGAATCATAACTTAAAAATGTATGATGTTCTCTAGGTAATAAATTAGTTATATAATCATTTACATCCGACACAGTTGTGTTTCGAGGTGTAATAATAGCTCGTTCTCTTAGATATACAAAATCGTCAAAAGAATTTTCAAAATTGGGAAAAGTTGCACAAAAAGATTGCAGCAATTGGGTTTGTGGAAGAATGGATTATTAAATCTTTAGGTATTTCAATCACAGATGTATCAATGTCATTTGAATCATTTAGTGCATCTATGTTATCAATTTCTCCATCACCTACTTTTAAAATCCAATTTGCAAAATCTTTGATTTTTTTGTTTTTCATCAATGCTTATATCATTTCTTAACAACCTCATATTTTCTTTTAAACGAAAAATTTTAAAATGTGGCCACAAATAAGAATTGTTTAAAGAAGCATTTATTATATCTTCTTTGTTTGCTCCAGGAATAACAGGTAATATTTGTCGAAAAAATCACCTCCTAATAAAAGGGGTTTACCACCAAATGGAACAATGTTATTCGGAGCATGTAAATGTGATAGAATATCAGAAAGTGATTTATCCAATGCTTCAAAACAATATTTATGATTCATAGGTGCCTCATCCCATATAATCAAATCAGTTTTTTCAATTAATGTGGCAAGATGAGTTTTTTTCTTTATTGGACAAATTGATGTATCAGTAATAACCAACGGAATTTTAAACCTAGAGTGAGCTGTTCTACCATTTGGTAATAATAATGATGCTATTCCTGATGATGCCACAGCTAAAACAATTTTGCCTTCAGATCTAAGCTTACTTATAATTGTATCCCATAAAAATGTTTTTCCAGTACCTCCATGGCCATAGACAAAAAATAATCCTTGTTTTCTTGTATTTACAGTATCTATAACAGTATCATATACATATTTTTGTTCTTCATTAAGTTGTGATTTCAATATTTCATGTTTTCTATATAATTCTTGACAATCATAATTTAATTCTTCTCTTAAAAGTTTATTTTTTATTTCTAGCATCTTTTTTTCATCAGGCATTGGCAAACAATGTTTTTGCAAAGAGCTAGATGCATTGTTAAAAAGTAATTCTAGCTCAAATAAGACAGAATTTTTTAGTTCATCTTCCGGAACAATCATATTAGGAATTGCAAAAGTTTTTTGCAGCTTGTATAAAATATCGTCATACATATTTTTCCAATGAGTATCAAAAAGAATTTCAGGATTTGCAACATCGCAAAACAAAACTATTGTAACAAATAATTGTCTTAACTGAGGAGATGATGCAACATGTGTAGCAGTTGATAAAGCATCTAACCATTCTTTATCATCACCTAATAATCCTAATGATTTACATGCAGCTTGATATGAAGAATGGAGAACACCATTAACAGTTTTGATATCATCAAAATTCAATGCACCTTTTTTCAAATTTAAAAGCATTCTTAAATAATATAACTCACCAGATGCAGGGTGCACATATGCTATCCTACCAATTGATCCTTTGCGTTTCCTTGGCTTCCAAAACTTCTGTCGTCCATCATATAAAAACTTGGATGGCATCTGAGCATAAGTTAGCAAGCGTGATTCATTATAAATTTTATTTGCTTCAAACCAAGCTGTTAACATAGTATGTTCAGAAGCTCTTTGATTAATAATTGATTCCAATGATTGATTACCACTGAAAACAATGTTTTGTTCTAATGGTAAATGGACAGGTAATCGCTCAACAGAAGGTTCTCTATAATGTATTGAATATTGGAACAATCTCCAAACAGCCTCATATGGTGATATGTATCTACAATTGAGATATGCTAATATTTCATCATTTGAATCTTCTTGAAGAAGTAACCGTGCTCTATCTGAACCTTTATTAATATATTTGAACAAATACTTTATAAGCATAGATTGACAACATGATTCAACATTTATATGAGCATTGTATCTCAAAAGTAGTTCTGCATTATAAGGAACAACAAAGCTATTATCAATTTTGATGCCATTTTTTATGAAAAATTTTGTATCATCGTCACAACGCTTATAAATTGGAAAACCATTAGGCTCAAATAGTGTTTCATTTTTTATATGGTTTTGGAAAAATTTTTTGAACACTTATTTTCTCGCATGCAAGGAGACTTTGAATTAATGTGACCACATGGACCATGAATCATAAATTGATTAACAATTTCATAAAGCTTTGGATTAACAATTTTTATCCGGTATTTCAGCTGAAATAATAGAATCTATATCACATGAGGAATGACACTTGAAGTTTGATTTTAACCATATTAATATATGAGAATGAGGCAAACCTCTTTTTTGAAATTCAATCGTGCAAACATCTGTTTTATAAGAAAAATAAAAGAAAACAAACAAACAGAGAAAAAAATTATGTTAGGTCAGAAAAAAATAAATAAACATTAATAAAGGAAAAGAAGGACTCTTAGAGACTTACTTGCTTCAACTTCTCCAAAAGGTTTTCCAGATTTTATAAAGTGAAGCATATCATCGAGTTTCATTTTAAATACTCTGGAAATTATATCAGGCCTATCTTCAGGTTTGAATCCTGGTTTTTTCTGAAATTCTCTTATGATTTCTGGCCACTTTATATTGCATGTGAATGTTATGAATAAATCAGGATGTCCATATTCTCTGCAAATAGCCATTGCATCTTGATAATTATTAATCATATATCTAGGACTCCCTGTGTATGAAGCAGGCAATACAATTTTTTGTCCCAAATTGTTTGCATCATTATCACCCCTTGACATCGCATCATAAATTCCTTTGTAAACTTCACTTCTTAAATTTTTTTGGTTTTGCCTAATGTAATCTAACCTATCTTCTTCAAGTGTTGCATAAGAATCAACCAAATATTGTTGAAAAAGTCTCCCCCCTTTTAACAATGTTGTTAAGCATGGTTCTCGTTCTTGAATTTGATACGCTATAAAAGCTCTCTCATGGGTATCCTTTGTCTTTTAGTCTCTGAACCCTTATAATTTTTGTTCCATTTTAAATCAGGTCTATAACCATCTTCACCGTATGGGAAAAGAAGAGGATATTGCAAAGACATAAATTTTGGATTTAATTTTGTAACACGCTTTAATCCTTCACTTTTAGACTCAATAATAATATCTCTATTAGAATCAGCAAGTCCTATATCACCAACTATCAGACCACTTATTTCATCACTTGTTGGTTGGTCATATTGTTTACCATCTGTTGTTTTCTCTTGCTGATAATCTCATTTTCAAAGAAGTGAGTCTATTAGTTTCAAACTTATCTCTTGCTGTTCGAAAAAGCTTAACTAACTCATTTGACATATCAAACATCTTAATCAAACCTTCAACAATTTTTGGATCAAGCTTTCTATTATTTCCATCAGATTCAAAAGCCTTCAATCGATTTTGCACTTCATTGTATGTATCATAGACATATAATTGTGCAAATTTTGGACACTCATTGTCAGCAGGCAACAGAGATCCCATCAAATGGCAAACTTGACCACTAATTTTGAAAATATAAGGACCTGAACCATCATTAATTGAGTGATCAATTTTGGCTCCCATCGAAGTAAATGAAAACATAGAATTGTAAGCTCTAATATTTTCTCGAAATGATAAACTTTTTGGACCACCATTTGGATCAAGCAAAGATTCTAAAAAAGGCGGTGTTGGTTTTGGATTTGGAAAAGCAATTTTTCCTTGTTGACAACAAAGAGTGAAAATAGGTTCATCTTTTTTACATACTTGCTTAAGAGACTCTTTCAACCAAAAAAAAATAGGCACCGCAGTGACTACATTTATAATTCTTATCCCCAAAATCCACATAATCTTTTAAAACCCCTGCAAAAAAAATACATAGGAAAGAAAAGAAAGAAAACGGGACTTAGGAAAGATATGCAATAAACTAAATATAAATTTACACGATAACAGAAATATATTTTTATATAAATTAAAAAACATACCAGTTCTGCTTTTCTGGAAGAATGCTTGGCCCTTGTTCATAAGATTGTAATTTTGAGGATCAATCGTTTTTTCAGCCATGTTATCAGAATTATCCAACAAATTAATAGGTTTTTTACCTTTTCGATCAGAAGGCTGAACAATTTTTTCAACAGATGCAGTATGCTGCACTTTATCATAATTAGCATTTTTCAAATCGCATTGTACAACAGCTGATCCACTACTACTACACTGATGTTTAAAATATGGAGTTCGAAGAAATGTATCAATCTGAGATAAAACAGCGTTTTCATGATTTTCAAGATAACTGGTTCTACACACTTTTCTTGGCTGATGGTCACACTGAACCAAGACATTATATTCATTATCACTATTTGTTTGTTTTTTGTTGTTATCATCATTGACCAACGCATTTATAGATCTTTTAGACATGTTGAAAACAAATTGTTACGAGGAAAAGCGAAGAGCTGCAAAAAAGATTGGAAAAAAAAAGAAAAAAAAATTAACACATAAATCACACAGCAAAAAAACATAACAAACATTAATTATGAACAAACCATCAAAATTAGGATTTCAATTTAAACACAATTAAAGTTAAAGGAAATACCAAGTTTATTCATACTTTATAAAACAAAATCGAAACAAATACTTAAAATTTGATCTTAACAATTCCAAAATTTTAGCTCACTCACCTTTAGTACAGAAATCTTTCAAACACAAAGACAAAGACGCCAAAGCGTGAAAGCACAGTATTTTGAAACCCTCCTTTTTTTTCCAACTTGCAGAGTTGAAATTTTTCAAGCACCTGTATTTGTCAAGAGAAATCATCACATTATATCAATAAAAAAAATCATCGGTAACAAAATCGACACACATGAAAAAACAAACAGTGTACAAATAACATTCAGGATGATGAAAATGTGCTTGGTGAACAGAAAGACAAAGAATGGTTCACGTGGCCACCCCAAAACAGGTTGAAAATTAAGCTTCACTATGAATGGAAAGATTAATAGATGATAATTAAGAAGGCCTGATACCCAAGCCAAAATCGGAGATATCCTTTGTAAAACAAAAAGATTGAGCATTTCCACTAATTTTTTTTTTTTGGGGGGGGGGGGTGTTTGGGAAAGCTCATAAAAAGACATCAAATTTTATACTTATTGCATGCAAGGTATGCAACAGCTTCCCACCGCTTAAAATCACATAAATAAAAGGAATAGAATCAAGAAAAAAAGTTAATTACACAATAATTACACCTTCACTAAGATTAATAAATTAAACCAAGGAAATAAATTATAAAAATGAAGACCATGAGAATAATTGGCTCACCTTTGTACTGTGATTTGCTGCCAAAAACAAAAATAATGTCATATACATTAAGCCTGCCTAATTACTAAAAACAAAACATTTTGCGAGAAGTAAGAACATACCCAAACTTGTTTGCAAATAGATGAGAAAATTTTATACCTGAAACAAATGGGAAATTTATTAGGAAAGATAGATCAGCCCATATGTGTGTAATCTATATGCAAAAAACTACTTTCTTCATCAGCCAAATCGTTTCACAAATAAATAAAAAAACAGAACCATATCTTGAACAATGCCAATTAATGATTTCCCATTTCCTTAAGCCCAACATGAAAGCCAATGAACTAACGAAAGAGCGAAAAACAGAAACAAAAAACCTCAATTAAGCAATCAACTGGAATCAAATGGAGAACTATTTAACAGTATAGGTATAATTTATTGATAATAAAATAATAAAAAACTCTATTTATTGTAGGCCTTAGGTGGAGCATCACTTTTGTTAGAAGGCAGAAATGAACGGAATAAGTCCTGGGTATAAGATTCCCTCCTCCTCTTTCTATTTAATCTCACCTTCGCACCTTCTCACTCCGAGGACGAGCAGTCGCAGACCCTTTCGCAATTTTCTCTCTATGTAAGTTGGCGCTCTCTCTCTCTCTCTCTCTCCCCTATCTATACCTGTGTACTCTCCTTACTTACACAGTTACACTGTTGACTTTTAGTCGTCGAATCCAAGTTTTTGTGCTAAACTGTTTGGTGGGTATCTGTTAGTTCTTCCTTTCTTTCTTCATCTCACTTTGCTCGGTGCTTTGATTCATTTATTTTTGGTTGCGTAGAGTGGAAATCTTTGAATGGAATTGAATAACCTGTTCGTTTGAATTCTTGAACTAGTGTGCGATTGTTAATGTTAATCTAGATTGATGGAATGGCCATATAGAACAACTTAAAAAGATTCCAACTTTAGTCCACAGTGCTCGAATTCGCGGCTACCTTTTTACTAGATTGGATCATGGCGATGGGTATTAATTTGGTTTTGCAAGTGTAAATTGAATTGAGCAATTTCCTTGACTGGAAAGAGGCCTCAAGACTTTCTGTAGCCGAAATTCTTACAGGTGCTATGTGGTAGTATCAAATGTGTGAGTATACTATATGCCAATTCCAAGTTATGTAGAATTTGAGGTGGCAAATTGACTTGCAGAAATTTCAGGTAGCTGTTAACGATGTTGATCAAAATAATCAAAAGTAGCATCATTTTTCATGTTAAGTAGAATTTGAGGTTGCGGATTGCTTGTTTCTATTGTTTGGAATATATCATATGTCTGCTGTATTCGATTGATGAAGGAATGACATGCTAAAACTCATTCATTTAAAAGGAAAAAACAAGAAAATATAGTTTATTTTTTCTTTTTCTTTCTAGGAGATTTGCTGTTTTTTATGACCAATGCTACTGACCATTTGAGTAATGAGCTACTGCATAATTTCATTTGTCCTTTGACATCACAAATTGACAATATCTTCCATGCAATCTACTCTGTAGTAAAAGATTGTCAACGCTTTTAGCCATGGGCAGTTCTAAAGATGGTCCAGTGAAGGACATGCCTCTTGGGGTAGATGCAACAACTGAGGAAGAATATGCATCACAGTCTAGGTTACTTCAAGACTTCACTAGTATTTCCAGCATTGACAAGGCATGGATTTTTAAATCTGATAGCGGTACAATTTCTCATTTAAATCTGATAGCGGTACAATTTCTCATTCTTCTAACATGCACGTCCTTATCCTTACATACATGCAACAGATTCATATATACGTACATTACATATGTAAGGAAATATATAAACACATGTACTTCCTCTCTAATTGAAAGCCAAAGAATTTTTCCTAATGAGGACATGCACATTAAACTTTGTTTCAGGAATTGGGTCTCAGGCAATGTTTTCAATTAGTCAACCGAATCTTTTGGCAAACAAGAGGAAGAAATTCATTCTATCCTCTCATATTTCAAGAGAAAGTAACAATTCTGTAAACTTCCAATGGTCCCCGTTCCCGGTTGAGATGACAGGAGTATCTGTATTTGTTCCATCCCCGTCCGGTGCAAAGCTTTTTGTGGTTCGGAATCCTGAGAACGAATCTCCCTGCCAATTTGAAATTTGGGGCCAAGGTCAATTGGAGAAAGAATTCCACATTCCCCAATCTGTTCATGGTTCAGTTTATGCTGATGGATGGTAAACATCGTGAATGCAGTCTTTCCAATTATCGTCATACATGATATTTGATGCTAGTCTTGTGTACTAGACGTTTTGTGCTTTATGCCTTTAGTGATAGTAGTAGAATTACGCCTCTGTTTTGATCATTAATCTTTTCATATATCTAGATTTCCTCCAGCATAAAAGAGTTCAAATTTTCAATGATACAGGTTTCAGGGAATTTCTTGGAACGCTGATGAAACTCTCATTGCTTATGTTGCTGAGGAACCAGCTCCCTCCAAGCCCACATTTACAGGTCAGGGATACAAGAAAAGTAGTTCCACGGATAAGGACTTTGGTAACTGGAAAGGTCAAGGGGATTGGAAGGAAGAATGGGGGGAAACCTATGCTGGAAAAAGGCAGCCTGCACTTTTTGTCATCAATATTAACAGGTCTTTAACAATTGGTTTAGTTTCTATTAGTACCAGGATTAGAAGTAAGGAGATTTCTCGTTTAAATGCCTGGCTAACTTTAATTATCCTATGCTGTACAGCGGAGAGGCACAAGCTGTCAAAGGAATTGAAAAGTCTTTGAGTGTTGGTCAAGTTGTATGGGCGCCACCAGTTAAAGGCTCGCATCAATCGTTGGTTTTTGTTGGGTGGTCAGAAGGTATCAGAAAGCTTGGTATCAAGTACTGCTTTAACAGGCCCTGTGCATTGTATGTGGTCAAGGCACCAAATTTTGAATCAGAAGCAAATGGATCTGAACTCAAGTGAGTTGCTTTGTGCAATACTTATTGTTACTTATTGATTTTTTGGATCTTCTGCTTGTTAATTGTTTTGGAAATTCATTGTGCTTCTACATTTGATATAACTATTACTTTCTTTCACTGTTCTAGAGCTAGTTCAACTGAAGATCTTCCTGCTGTAAAGCTGACTCAAAGCATAAGTAGTGCTTTCTATCCACGGTTCTGGTAACTTTTTCCCCCATCAGACACTTAGTTATGTGTTCGTGTGCACTTTACCAGGGTCTGTAACATCATGCAGTACTCAAATTTAGTCTATGATATAAGTTTTTGACGTTTATAGCCTCTCTTTTAATTTCAAAACGGAAATTGATATCTTAATATTAATTGAAGTTTGATGAACATTTGAATCGGAATTGTACTGATTGTTTCACATTATCCAATAGATGGTTGATTGTTTCAAACATCATTACAATTACTGATTCTGATTGTATTTGAAACATGATCAATGTAATTTTGGCAGCCCAGATGGAAAATTCCTTTTGTTTTTATCGGCTAGAAGTTCTGTGGATTCCGGGGCACATTCTGCAACAGATTCTCTTCACAGAATAGACTGGCCAGTGGATGGAGTGCTATCCTCATCTGCAAAAATTGTTGATGTGGTGAGCTCTCTGGCTTTTATCTTTCTGTACTAATCAACTTTTATTTCCTGATTGATAATTTAAACTACTCAGTTCTGTGGAATTCTTTGTTCGAGTCCATGTGCATGTAAATTATGAACAAAGGTTCATTTGTTAAGATGTGCTTATAAGTAAGCATTAAGCGTTTCCTTGTAAAGGTGTAAACTCATATGGGTTTGCATTCCAGAACTGTTAGGATTAAAGATCGTGGTTCGCTTACTTGTTTTGGTTGGATGCTGTTTTGCTATTTGCTAGTTGCTACTATATACCAGTGGTATCTTTTGTAGTTGATTTGTAAATTCGATGTTGTATTCATACACACTGAGGATGAAATTCAATATATAGAAATTTCCTTTGACCTGTTTTCTTCCCTTTTTTTATTCTGGTGTGCGGTACTTTTGTGCATGGGTAGCGAACCCTTGAACTCTAGGTTAATTGTCTTCAACAAAAGGTTTTCATTTCATGAAGGTGATATCACACAACATAATAATATAAGTTTAGGAAATTTTTTATGAATTTTTCTCTCTTTATCTCTCTCCCTACTTATATAACAACACTTAATACACTTCTTTTTTGAAGATTCCTGTTGTTATGTGTGCTGAGGATGGTTGCTTCCCTGGGCTTTACTGGTCAAGTATCCTTAGTAATCCATGGCTTTCTGATGGATGCACAATGATCATATCTTCTATCTGGGGTAGCTGTCAAGTGATACTTTCTGTGAATGTTTTGAGGTAACTATAATGACTAATCATATGACACTCGTATCTCCATGGGGTCGTTACCTTTTTAACTTTTTATAACTGACCTATGAAAGTTATATGGAAGTACAGCGGGGAAGTATCACGTATCAGCTCTGCTGATTCAAATTCATGGGATGTTCTTACACTGGATGGGGACAATATCATTGCTGGTAAAGAAATTGCCATTTTGTACTGATAATTACTCAGGAAAAATTTACTGATCAATAACGAAATTTCTCTTTATCTTTGATTTCTGAAGTGTCTAGCAGTCCAGTAGATGTACCTCATATCAATTATGGTTACCTTGTTGATAAAGAAAGTACAAGTACCGCATGGAGTTGGTTAAATGTATCAAGCCCCCCAAGTGAATGCTCTGAGAAGGTCCATTAATCTGCTTTTCTATATTTCCACATATCAAGATTATCTTCAAAGCTTACATCTGTTCAACTCATGTTTCAACTTGCCATAGGTTAAATCTTTGCTCTCCTCTCTGCAATTCAGTATACTGAAGGTTCCTGTCAGGGATGTTTCTGGTAGCGTAACAAAAGGTATTATAAACCAATTATTTCTTGTTTGTAAAAAAAAAAAAAATTGATTTTAACATCCTGTACATGCTTAAAACCTTTCAGGTGCTGCCAAACCAATTGAAGCCATATTTGTGTCTTCCAAAACTAAAAGAAATGATTCATTTGACCCATTAATTGTAATCCTCCACGGAGGCCCGCACTCTGTTTCATTGTCAAGCTATTCAAAGTCCTTAGCATTTCTCTCTTCAATTGGGTTCAGTTTGTTACTTGTAAATTATAGGTAAGCTATGATTCTCCTTTTTGTCCTTTCATTCTGAATTTTCTTATCTGGGTCAACAAAATTGTGCTCCAATCTTGTTCAGATATTATGAAATTGGCCTACGGATATGAAAAGAAATAACCATTTCTTTTAACTTCATCGGCTTTTATCTTGCATTGTTCTGACATGTTAGTTTATCTCAGAGGTTCGCTGGGTTTTGGTGAAGAAGCACTTCAGTCCCTTCTAGGGAAAATAGGGTCCCAGGTGCGTACCTATATATATTTACCTTTAATCTGTTTTACAGCAATGTTATTTTTGTTATCCGAGATGGCATTGTTCCTTAGGGGAGCGTATTCTATAGCACCTGTTTATTTATGTAGAGCCCCATGTTGGGCCATTTTATACTACTTTGGTATCATACAGATAGACATACACACTCTCTGGCATAAATATATCTGTATATGCTTATGTATGCTAAGAATTTACGTTGTTAATATACTTGTGTAACTAGTATTTACTTTATGTATCTGCTTTTGTATTTGTAGACCCTAATATCTGAGTTTATTCACTACAGGACGTGGATGATGTGCTGGTGGCTATCGATCACGTCATTGACAAGGGGCTTGCCAGTGCATCAAAAATTGCAGTTCTTGGTGGTTCTCACGGCGGCTTTCTGACTACTCACTTGATTGGCCAGGTCTGGTAGTTTTGTAAAAAGGATGACTGTTATTTTTTAGTTGCTTTGAGGCTTCTCGCTTTAAGCTTTTTTTTTTTTTTTTTTTTTTTTTTTGTGGGGTACTGAAAAAACTTTTTTATTTTATTTTTGAAGCATCTATTACTTATGCACACTTGGTAGACGATCATTTTTTAGTTATACTGAGAGTTGAACATATTTATGCTGCAGGCACCAGATAAGTTTGTTGTGGCAGCAGTGAGGAACCCCGCCTGTAATCTCGCATTAATGATCGGTACGACAGACATCCCAGATTGGTGCTATGTGGAGGCCTATGGAAGTGAGGGTAGAAATAACTACACAGAAGCACCTTCTGCTGAGCATCTGACTCTCTTGCACAGCAAATCTCCTATTTCACACGTCTCAAAGGTGCTTGTTTAAGCTTTTTCTCTGTTACTATATTATTTACGTACTCTTGATTTTGAAGCTTATACTATAAATTTCCTTTTTGTGAAGAAATTCAATAATTTAAAAAGATTTTATATGGTAAGAAGTTTGCTATTTGTAACTTTTTGAAGGATCTATCTGCAGGTCAAAACACCCACCCTCTTTCTTTTGGGTGCTCAGGATCTTCGTGTTCCAATTTCTACTGGACTTCAAGTAAGTTAACATGTTCTCCTAATGAAATACACCTTTTCTCCTTAATAGTTTAACAATGAAACAAGTGCTTGGATAATTATTCTTTTAGTTTCATCTTTTAAATTGTTTTCCTTCCTCCCAAGGGGGTGGGATGATTTTGATTCATAGACGTTTGCATAATTGGAATTATGTGAGTAGAAAAGTGATTTGGATGTTTATTATTCATAGTATGCTCGGGCGCTTAAGGAAAAAGGAGTTCCTGTCAAAGTCATTGTGTTTCCACAGGATACTCATGGAATTGAGAGGTAAACTTATGATCCAAATGTGCTTTGTGCACTGTAGTCACTAGTCACTACAAGCGAGGTCATAAAGTGTCATGCTCGGATTTTCATCTTATACTAATTTGTGTGTTTGCAGGCCACAATCGGACTTTGAGAGCTTTCTTAACATTGGTGTCTGGTTCAAGAAGTATTTACCGTAAATGAGCAGGCATTTCTTCCCTGCTTTTACCCCCATAGTTCGACTTCGAGAGCTTTCGTAAGATGGTTGCTTTTATGGCACGGTACAAATAAATCTACAATTTACAGTCAAGTAGGTTGAATCCACCTTGAATCTGGATGAAAAACTATTGAATCCGGCTTGCGTTTGCTCAGCATATGTAATCTGGATGAAAAATTATTGTACTTGAAAATTTATGATTATTGAAATCAATAATGCAACTTCAACTGAACTATTACGTATTACTATTAATATTGTTTTGGCTTTAATGCTATATTTGGTACTGTGTTTTCAATTTAGCCCATGTTTTTATATTTGTTAGTGAATATAGGGTAATTTGTTAAACAGTCGTTAAGTGAGTATAAACGTCTTTTTCTCACCCTTGTGAGATAACAGGGGCATCGATTTCTTTGGTGTTAACATGTTTTATGTAGGTTTGTGGATTGTGGTGGCGTTCTGACGACTTTGGTAGCACTGACTGGATACCCTTCCACCCCACCCCTCTGAGTTTGTCCCAGCTACAACTAGCCTCCTACACCTCCTGACATTTTTGCATGTGCCTCTGCCTTTTCTACCCATGCCTACTACCAAATTTTGCAACTGCATCTCCATTATGGACACGTCACCATGTTCTTTTGTTTTTTTCGTTTTGTTTTTATGACTGGTCTGTGTTGCTTTGGCAAGTGGTTTGTGTCGTTTCGGCGATTTTGTAGTCTTGCTATCTTGTGGTGGTTTTGGTGAGAGTTTCGGTGCTTGGTATGTCATGTCTTGCCTATAGGGCATATCAGTCTCGGGATTCCTCGTTCTAATGGTGTGATTTGTGTGATGGTTGTATAGGGGTTTAAAATTATTTGTAATTTGTGCTTATTACCTCCAGATCAAGAAATTGATCATTGGAGCATATGTACCCATCTGACATCCTTGTAAGTGGTTGTTGATAGTAATGAAATTCTATTGTTTCTGTAAAAAAAAAAAAAAAGGGCCTATCTAAATGCATGGGTCCCTCTTGTATGTGTATTATGCGTACAAGTTGCAGATATGACATTGTCACTTTTGGTGTTCATGTTTTTTTTTTTTTTATAAGCTCTTCTCCTGAAAACTCTCTTACTTAACTTTTAGACGTATTCACATCAGTATCACACAATTATTTCACTCAAATTATAATACATAAATTTATTTAATAAGACATATAAATACGTATTAACCGTATCGTATATGCATTTTATAACACATGCAACCAAATCTAGGGAAGCAAACACAAGCTAAGGTGATGAAGTCAAAAGGGTTTTTGAATTCATAAAGAGAAGCAACATTTGCAAGCCAAACCGCAATCCTTTACAAACTCAGCTCTTCTCTCTCTACGTAAGCGCGCGCGCTCTCTCTCTCTCGTATTTACTGTGTGCTCTTCTCACTGACATTCTGTTGACTTTTAGTCGTTCCATCCAAGTTTTTATCTCTTTTTGCTTGGTGCTTTGATTCATATTGCTACTTCAGTTGTTCTGTTCTCTTTCTTTTCTTTCTTTTGTTGGTGAAGTTTAAACCATTGAATTACATGCGTTTTGGATATCTTGAAGTTGAACTCTTTTACGATTGCGAATGGTAAATGGAGTGGCCATATTGGATATAGCTGAGCAAATATTGAAACTTTCATGTTACTAACGCAACTCCAATTAATCCACATTCGCCAAATTTGCAAGCACCGGTATTTACTAGATGGAATCATGGGGATTGCTAATTGAAATCGAGTAATTCTAGTCACCCGAAAGAGCCGTCAACATTTTCTGCTGCTGAAACTGTTAACGTTGAGATTTGAGACGGCTGATTGACTTGAAGAACATAAAAACAAAGCAATCGAAGCAGTATCCAGCTTCATATAATACATCTGTATAGTATGTTGAAGAAAGAATGACATGCTAGTTCTAATTTGTATAATCAAAAGAAAAATAAGTAATCGTTTGTTCCGATACTTGCTGCTTGTTGCTTTCTTGTTATTGATCTTCCCTACAATCTGCTTTGTGGTGGAAGATTGTCAACATTTTTAGCCATGGACGGTTCGAAAGATGGTCCACTGAAGGAGATGCCTCTTGGAATACATGCAGCAACTGAGGAAGAATATGCTTCCCAGTCCAGGTTACTTCAAGAATTCACTAGTATGTCCAGCGTTGACAAGGCATGGGTTTTTAAATCTGACAGCGGTACGAATTCTCTTTTTTTCTCAAAGCAATGTATACATACAGACAGATACATATACATATCAACATTACATATTCTTCTTTTGACAATATCAACATTTTATATGTATACACGAAAATTTGTAATGAAGATGTTTTCACTAAACTTTTATTGCAGGATTTGGATCCCAGGCAATGTTTTCGATTAGCCAACCAAATCTATTGGCAAACAAGATGAAGAAATTCATTCTATCCTCTCATGTTTCAAGAGGAAGTAACAAATCTGTAAGCTTCCAATGGACTCCGTTTCCTGTCGAGATGACGGGAGTCTCTGTGATTGCTCCATCTCCATCTGGTGAAAAGCTTCTTGTAGCTCGGAATCCTGAAAAAGAATCTCCCTGTCGGTTTGAAATTTGGAGTCAAGCTCAAGTGGAAAAAGAATTCCACATTCCCCCATCTGTTCATGGCCCTGTATATACTGATGGATGGTATATTAATCATGTGTACAATATACAATGTGCCTTAGTCTGTGCATTATTCGCCCTTTTTCTTGCCTACATTTTTCCCTCATTTCAAAGAGGGCAAATTTTCGATGTTACTGGTTTCAAGGAATTTCTTGGAACCATGATGAAACTCGCATCACTTATGTTGCTGAGGAACCGTCTCCCTCCAAGCCGACATTCACAAGCCAGGGATACAAGAAATGTAGATCAACGGATACGGACTTGGGTAACTGGAAAGGTCAAGGGGATTGGAAGGAGGAATGGGGGGAAACGTATGCTGGAGCACAGCAGCCTGAACTTTTTGTCTTCAACATTAACAGGTCTTGTTACAAGTGGTTTCCTTTTTATCAGTACCGAGATTATAAGTAAGAGGATTTCTTCTTAAATAGCCAACTTATTTAAATTCCCCTATCCTGTACAGTGGAGAGGCGGAAGCTGTTAAAGGAATTGACAAGTCATTGAGTGTTGGCCAAGTTGTGTGGGCGCCGCAAGTTAGAGCCTCGAATCAGTATTTGGTTTTTGTTGGGTGGTCAGAGGGTACCAGAAAGCTTGGTATGAAGTACTGCTATAACAGGCCGTGTGCTTTGTATGCGGTTAAGGCACCAAACTTTGAATCAGAAGCTGATGGACATGAACTCAAGTGAGTTGCTTTTTGTGCAATGCATCCGTCTCTTGTATTTTGGAGATTCATTGTGCTTAGTCATATCATATAACTATCAATCCCTTCACTTTTCCAGAGATTGTTCAACTGAAGATCCTCCTTTGGTAAACTTAACTCAAAGCATAAGTAGTGCTTTCGATCCACTGTTCAGGTACTTTTTTTCCCCTGTCAGATACTTCGTTTTCTGTGTGTCTACACTTTACAGGGGTCTGTAATCATTAGTTGCTTAGATTCAGTGTACAATATATCTCATGTGGAATACATTTTCTTCGTGTCACTGGTATAATTTCTCTTGGAGTGCTAGACTCGACAGAACTGAAACAATTTATTTTGGCACCTTCCACCTATCTTTCGATTCAAAAACTGAAATTGATACCTTGATAAACACAAGTTTGATGGACATCAGAATGGACATCAGAATGGGGATAGTTCTGATAGTTCTGATCATATCTTCCATCTGGTGTAGCTGTCAAGTGATACTTTCTTTGAATGTGTTGAGGTAACTATAGGGTTTCATCATATGACGTGCTCTTGTTACCTTGTTATTATAATTAAATCATGATACAATTATATGAAATTACAGCGGGGAAGTATTACGAATCAGTCCTACTAATTCTAGTTTTTCATGGAGCGTTCTTACACTGGACGGAGACAATATCATTGCCGGTAATATAAACTCCCTTTTTTTTACTGATAACTTGTTGGACAAATTTACTGAATTACAATAATAAAATTCACTTCTTGTTTGATTTCGGAAGTGTCTAGCAGTCCAGTAGATGTACCCCATATCAAGTACGGTTATCTTATTGATAAAGAAAGTAAAAATGCTGCATGGAGTCGGTTAAACGTAGCAAGCCCCACAGATGAATGTCCTAAGAAGGTCTGTAGTACTGTGTTATTACTGTGATTATCTTAAAAACTTACTTTTGTTTTACTCAAGTTTCGCCTTGCTACAGGTTAAATCTTTGCTCTCATCTCTTCGGTTCAGTATAATGAAGATTCCGATCAGGGATGTTTCTGATAGCCCAACAAAAGGTATCACAAGTCAGTTTTCTTTCTTATGTCTTGGAAAATCATTGATTTTGACATCCTGTATATGATTAAAACCTTTCAGGTGCCACCAATCCTATTGAAGCTATATTTGTGTCTTCCAAAACTAAAAGAAATGATGCACTTAACCCGTTAATTGTATTCCTTCATGGAGGCCCACATATTGTTTCATTGTCAAGCTTTTCAAAGTCCTTAGCATTTCTCTCTTCGATTGGTTTCAGCTTGTTAATTGTAAATTACAGGAAAGTTGTGTTTCTCCGTTTTCCTTTCATTCTGATTTTTTCGGCTAAAGTACATTTTATCATCCCCTGCTTCAAAAATTGCCTCTTTTCAATATTAGCTTCATATAATCAGCTTTTGGCTTCCATTGATCTGACATGCGAGTTTATCTCAGAGGTTCACTGGGGGTTGGTGAAGAAGCACTTCAGTCTCTTCCCGGAAAAATTGGGTCCCAGGTAATATTATATTATGTGTCTGTCTGTATATGCACAATGTTTGTTAAGCATTTACTTTAGATGGTATTTACTTTAAATGTGTGGATTTGTATTCGGAGACCCGGATCCATTAGTATCTTCTCTACAGGACTTGAAGGATGTACTGGCGGCTGTAGACCATGTCATTGACATGGGGCTTGCCAGTCCGTCAAAAGTTGCAGTTCTTGGTGGTTCTCACGGTGGCTTTCTCACAACCCACTTGATTGGCCAGGTGTGTTAAGTTTGCAAAAAGGACGATAATTTTCCCATTTATGCATACATGAACATACACAATTTTAGGTGTACTTATGAATCTGATAATCTTGTAATTGAAATGCTGCAGGAACCAGAGAAGTTTGTTGTGGCAGCAACAAGGAATCCTGCTTGCAACCTCGCGCTAATGGTGGGTACAACAGACATTCCCGATTGGTGCTATGTTGAGGCCTACGGGAGTGAGGGTAAAAACAGCTTCACAGAAGCGCCGTCAGCTGAGCATCTTACTCTCTTTCACAGAATGTCTCCTATTTCACATGTCTCAAAGGTTTGTGTTTTGTAACTTTTGTTTAGGCTTGTTTTCTGTTATTTTAGTGAGCCTATTCTGGACTATCGTCAAGCTCGTATGTTCTCTGCAGGTCAAAACACCCACCCTCTTTCTTTTGGGTGCTCAGGATATTCGTCTTCCGATTTCTATTGGATTTCAAGTAAGATAACACCTTCGTGTCCTCATGAACTACACATTGAGCACTTCAATTCTACTTTAATGGTTGCATAATTGCAATGGCGTGAGTAGAAAATGATTTGGATATGTTTATTGTTCTTTACACAGTATTCTCGCGCTCTGAAGGAAAAAGGAGTTCCTGTCAAAGTCATTGTGTTTCCTCACGATAATCATGCAATTGACAGGTAAGGAGTGATCCAGATGTGCTTGTGCATTGTAGTCACTAGTCACTTGGTACAACCAAAGTCATAAAATTTCATGCTTGGAATGCAATCTGAGATTTCAAAATTTGTGTTTGCAGGCCACAATCCGACTTTGAGATCTTTCTTAACATTGGTGTCTGGTTTAAGAAATATTTATCGTAAATGAGCAGGCATTTCTCCGCTGCTTTTACTGCAGCAATTTGACCGCCATTTCACACAAGCTGTTCAGCAACATATCACACTTGATCATCGAACTGAACCTATACATATTTTCATTTGCATCAATTCCCACTACCACAAGTAATTGCCTTGCCAAGGTATTGAATTAATATGCACGCATAGAAATATCATATATGGACGTTATATTAAATTAATACCACTTCTGCATGAGTTGATGTCAAATAAAACTACAAATTAATTCTTTACCTTGGAATGTTCCCTTATGGTAGCAACCATCAACACCTATCAAAGGTCTGCAACCAGATACAAACCCCTATTTGCATGCATCCAAGCACACATTATGTCTTTGGAAATAAGGAGGATCCACCTTCATCATCATAGTGCTGCCTATATTTGTCTTTCTAACCTCTTCACAATACTCCCATAGCTTTCATATTGTTGAGCATAAGCCCCCTCAATCAAAGTTAGAGCCTTCCTCTTAGCTTTGTAACTTTGATTTGTTGAGACTTCATATCCCAAGTCTCTGAATATCTCTAACTGAAGCATTTGCCTTCTTAATCTTAGGATCATCTTTAATCCTACCCATGTATCTTTCAGAAAGAAAAGTCAAAGTTATGTTTTTACTAGAGAAACCTTTTGAACATGAATGACCAGGAATGTAGCTCTTGTTTTGAAAAGTACTTTCACCCTGCATCACAGAAGCAAACAACTTCCAGCTGCAACCTTGCTTGCATTTAGCAGACAACCTAATCCTATCATTCTTCCTTACCTTACACTTATATGACCTTACGACTTCATATTTATGTCTAGCCTGCTTTAACACCTTTTTACTTAGAAATTTCATCCCAATATCAAATTGTGGGTTTTCCATATCAGTTAACATTAAACTCTTTGCATCTACGATCATGTCCTTCTTCATCAGATTTAGTGGCGAATGTAACTCATCTGAGTTATATTGCTTCTCATGCATGTTCAAATCCTCAACCTATATATCTTCCCAATCGTTTTTTTATTATTTTGTTTTTTGTTTCCTACTGCATCCAATGAAACTCTATGTATCTACATTGTCACTGAAATTGTCATCTTCAAGCATTGCATCATTATCCTCATCATATAAGAAATTGTCTGTATCAGAATCACCAATGTCATCATCATTATCACTTTCCTCATAAAGGTAATTGTCCGTATCAGATTTTTGCTCACCATCATATTCACACTCTTCAGTTTGTATGCGTACATCATAATAATATTGAGGCTTACCATGATACAAAGCACTACTATCTTCTTGAAATAAGAATTCGCTGCTAAGACCATTTAGGCAATACCTATTTTCATTAACCTGACTAGACAATTATGTAGAGAATTCATTGAATGATTCTTCATAATTTATTGAGCTTGTGACAATGGTGGTTGAGTTAAGTCCTCGATAACTTGAGGAAAATCTGCACACGTAAAATGAAATACGTTTTATTTTTAAAGAAAGACATGAGCCGATTACACAATGCTACCTTTATCAGGAAAAAAGCACACAATATATCCAACAAATCAAACCTTAGCCCCCAACAACATTGAAAATCGAAGAAGATCGTCACCTTGGTTGTTTGGTTCAGTTCGTCTGCTTGTCATCTTCTCTGGAGTAGTCACCAAAATCTCAGTCGGCAACCCCATAATCTCTAAATTTCTGACCTAATGGATGTTGAAACCCTAAATCGCATAGTATTCAAGTGAACTGAACAAAGTGTTAATTTCTAAATATATGCATCATATATATTTAGTGGGTGTACAATAAAATGACGTTTTTGTCCTCCCACGTGCCTGGCACATGTCAATTTTAACGGTCTTTTAACGGATTGTCTTGAATTAGCTAACAAATGTAAACACAGGGACTAGTTTGGTCAAACGAAAAATACAGGGACTAAAATTGGCCGATAGAGAAAAACACACAAACCTTTTTGATATTTAAGCCCAATAACAAATATCTAAGAAACCCAAAAGTATTTTCAATTATCATATTAACCAATTAACAACAAGATGAAGTGTTCCAAAATGTATTTAAACTTTCAGGCAATGCTTCTTCTTTTTTCGATATGGAATTCATACTTGAACAATAATCTCTCATTCATTTGCCCAAATACCAATATAAAATCTAAGGTCAATTACAATTTACACTTTTCAAGTTTGAAGTGATTTTCAAATGGACCACAAGGTTCTAATTTTCTACCTTGTGCTTTGAAGTTTGGAAATTGTATTAACTTACGCATTTTGTTTGAATATATAACCCTTCATTAAATTAATGAGTTTGTTTTTTCTTAATGTGGTGCAGTTGCGGCTTATACGTTAGTCATACAAGAATCTCAAGCTTATTGTCACACTCTGATCCCAAGATACGTCCAGGATTGACACGTGACGTCACTAATTCTTGTTTATCTATCATGTCTTGCCCTTGGAGAAGACAAAAAATAAACAATGATTCAACCACGTAGTAACTTCCATTTCATGGCTGCATCTAACCCTTGCGTTAGACTGCCTACGTACCCTAAATAGAGATTTAGCCATCCGTAGTTCACCAATTATTAAACTCTGAACTTTTCTCAATATACTTCCTAGTAGAAAACATAAAGTACCCCACTATATAACAACTATATATAAACCGAGATTTGTCATTTCGTCATTCACATATATCACATGCTTTCCAACACCATTCCACAAACATGTCCACTAATAAATTCATGAGTCAAAGATGCATGATATTATCCTTTAACTACGTTAATCGATCAACAAGATAACATATCATTCACGAATTTAAATAAAGAACTCTACATAATTCCCTACTTGGATTATAAGTAATAACATGGTAAATCTAATTTATACTCACAAGGTCTATAGTGGGTAATTCCCATTCACTTGAATCTAGGGTTCCAAACTAACTTTATGGAAATGAGCAAGAGTAAGGATTCTAGGCCACTCCACGGAATCCAACTAAAATATGGCCGCCTACCAAAATGTAACAAGTACAACTAATCCTCATCACCCTAGAATGCGTATGGTCCCCCATTACGGCTATACTAAGCAGAACCATATGCATAATTTAAGCATGTAGGCAGTGATCACCCATCATGGATATGCTAAGCATGATCACCCCTGAAATACGTATGGTCCCCTCATCGCGGATATACCAAGCAGGACCACATCCTAACTCTAGGTAGTGATCATCCATCGCGGATATGCCAAACATGATCACTCCTAGAATGCGTGTGGTCCCACATTGCAGCTAAACTAAGCAAAACCATAGGCATAGTCTAATAACGTAGGTAGTGATCACCCATCGCGGATATACCAAGCATGATCACCCCTAAAATACATGAAGTCCCCCATCGCAGATATACCAAGCAGGACCACATCCTAACTCTAGGTAGTGATCACACATCGTTAATATACCAAGCATGATCACTCCTAAAATGTGTATGGTCCCCTATTGTGGATAAACCAAGCATAACCTAATTGTGCAGGCGGTGATCACCCATCGTAGATATACCAATCATGATCACCCCTGAAATACATATGGTCCCCTATCGCAAATATACCAAGCAGGATCATCCATGTACCACTGCTACATGGTGCAGTTAGATCAACACACAACCTACTTACCCAACCTACTTACCCAACCTACTTACCCTTATCTTAAACCCTTACGATTTACAACGTAAGCACCTGCACTATTAACTTCTCACGACCACTAACTATCTTGTCATACCAACATATAAGATCTATATAATACTTCTAATAAGATTCTGGACTTGCATTTCTATACTAGCAATTGTACATTTCATTCGTATCATCTAGAAAGTTCAATAAACATGTATAACACAATAAGGTGCCACTTGCACATAAATCAAGGTGCACATCACCTGGGATAGCTCACTAATTAAGATGGCCCGCTAGGCCCCATTGGGTCTCTAGTAATGCTAATTTTAGTATTGAAGAACGCTTCAAAACATTTTCAACAAAGTCAACCCTAGTAATCCAATCAGGAAGATCCGTCCACCGGATTTTTGATTTGTAGTTCCTAAAGTTCTTAAATATTACGTACAATAACATACTAAATTTGGTGACGTTTCAACGGTTGGATCGCTGTTTACTATAATATTCAAGTGGCAGACATTAAAGAAACTAGGTTCGAACGATGGAATTTCATCGTGCGGATGTCAAATATGTAATCATAGTATCGAATTTAACCTAAAAAGACAAAGTCAGCCCATTACCCATGAGCAGCCGCATGCGGCAGTTTCCTACGAATGGAAACCAAAATTTTCGACCAAGTCCAAAATTCACCAAATTTCACCAGATTATAGAAAGTAACAAGGGGAAGAATTTTCATACCTGTGAAAGAGTTCAATTCCATCGGGAATTACCTGAAATCGACAAGAGGCTGCCGGAAACCCTAGGATTGGTGCCATTTGAATCATCGTCCATTTAAACTCTGACGCCTCACCCAATGCTTAACACTTGTTCCTAGGTCTAAAGGGAGTTGATCGATGGTGGTGGCAAATGGTGGTGATTGCAGCCGAGAGACTCACGGAACCCACAAGTTTGTTCTTCACGAAACTGGGCATAAACCCAGTTGGGTTGGGTGGAAAGTGGAAAGGAAATGGCGATGTGATGATTAGTGGTGGTGGATCGACTCAATTCATCGGAAAATCGACATAATTTCGTTGGAGTTGAACGGTGGTGGTGGCAGATGTTGGTGATTGCGGAAGCGCGGATTGCAGTCGAGAGACTCACGGAACCCACAAGTTCGTTCTTCACGAAACTGGGCATAAACCCAGTTGGGTTGGGTGGAAAGTGGAGAGGAAGTGGCGATGTGATGATTAGTGGTGGTGGATTGACTCAATTCATTGGAAAATCGACGGAATTTCGTTGGAATTGTGTAGGAAAAATTGGGTTGGTAGTCGGGTTAGGAACCGGGTCTCGTGAGGATCCGGGTTGGCTGGTTCCTCCCACTTTCCTTTCCCTCCTTTCTTCTCATCCTGATTGGTCTATCCCTCCCTCATTTCTCCCATTTTCTCCGTCTCTCCCTTGCCATTTGGTAGCTTCTAGTCTTCTTTTATTTATTTATTTATTTTA